ATAATTTTAAAAGAAAGCACAAAAAATTAGGGAGCAAATGAACTATGGCAAAGAGAAGGGGTCACAGCTACACGGGGATCTGCTGTTTCAGCACAAGTTCTGCCAATTTGAGTCCTCCATCTACTCCAAGCCATAGCATCCCTCTGTTCTCTGAGTTCTCAGAGCACTTACCCAAAGTTCACCCAATGTTAAATGGGTAAAGGCCTTAGTGGGTCTACACGGGGTCCTGCCTATATGACCCTTCCTCTCCAGCCTCATTTCATCACCCCTATAGCCCTCACCTTTCAGGAATCCAGCCTTGTACCCTATGTTTATTAAATCGACCATATGGCCTTTGCTCATCCTAATGTTCCCCCTTCCTTTCCCAGTGAACTACCCACTCCCAGTCTATGAGCTCCTCTGTTTGATGCCCTCATTCCATTGATTTCAATGTGTGCTGATCTGCTCATTCAGGAATGTCTTCACTATCCTCTTCTAGTGAAGCAGAGCAGCTACCATGGCCAGTTTTTCCCACTAAATGGAGTGTCACTCTTTTTAACTCTTTTTACTTATGGGTGAGATGACTCCTTCACCTTACCCTTCTTTAATGAAGAGCTAGAATCAGTAGGTAATAGTAGGATATTTTGAACTAGAAATCAAGAAACAGTGAGTTGCTACCCTTACAAGTTTGGCTCAATGGACAGGGCATCGGCCTGTGGAGTAAATGGTCCTAGGTTCAATTCCAGAAAAGGGCATGTACCTTGATTGCAGGCACATCCCCAGTAGGGGGTGTGCAGGAAGCAGTTGATCGGTGTTTCTCTCTCATCATTGTTTTTAACTCTCTATCCCTCTCCCTTCCTCTCTGTAAAAAAATCAATAAAATATATATATTTTTTAAAAACAGTGAGTTTCCATATTTGCTCCCACTCTTATATGGAACTCTCAATGTAACCTTGGGACCATGATACTTCCCTCTCTGAGCCTGTTTCCTCCTTTATAAAGTATAGTTTAAACCAGACAGTATCTGAGGTGCCTCCTTCTCTCCAACATAGCATTCTAGGTCCTTCAATTGACTAAAAAGACAAAGCAAAAAAAATAGAGAAATAAATTTTCAAAAGCAAAGGAAAGGATGAGGTCACACTAAGAAAGGGAGAAGGCCTGTGGTTCATTGAGCCTGGGCTCTGTGTCTGAATACCATTGCAGCACTTGATCACCTTGTAACCTTGAGCAGATTGCTTAATGTCCCTGGGCCTTGACTTCCTCTTGTGAAGAATGTAATAAGTATATTTCCCTCACAGGACTGGTTAGAGGATTAAATGAGATGATGTATTATAATACAGGGAACATGGAAGTCTATAGTACGTATTAGGTCCTTTCTGTCTTCCCACTGACTGTCAAGGAATTTTAAAGTGGATTATAACTAAGTAGGGCATAAATTGAGACAAAGGCTCAGTTGTCTCTGCATGTTTTGGTCCCTGCACACTTTATTCCTCTGCAGAGGCTTTCTACCACTTAAAACAAACAAACAAACTGCATCCCTGAGATTCACAGAGTTGCGTTACTCTCCTCATTCAAGCAATCCTATGAGATTCCACTACATGCAATGATTTTAAAGTTGGTTCCAAAGATGTTTGCAGATGTTTTCTGTCTTCATGATACAATGGCAAGAGCATGACTAAAGTCCCCATTCAGCTACCACCGACCAGGTACTCAATTATAATGGTCACTTTCACCCTTTCCTGTATGTCACAGAAAAACATGAGACCCTAGCTGGCTTTGCTCAATGGATAGAGCATTAACCTATAGACTGAAGAGTCCCAAGTTCAATTTCAGTCAAGGGCACATGCAGGCTCAATCCTTAATGAGGGGTGTGCAGCCAATCAATGATCCTCTCTCATCATTGATGTTTCTATCCCTCTTTACCTCTCCCTTCCTCTCTGAAATCAATAAAAATATTTTTTAGCCAAAACCGGTTTGGCTCAGTGGTAGAGTGTCAGTCTGTGGATTGAAAGGTCCCAGGTTCGATTCCGGTCAAGGGCATATACGTTGGTTGTGGGCACATCCCCGGTAGGGGGTGTGCAAGAGGCAGCTGGTCGGTGTTTCTCTCTCATCGACGTTTCTAGCTCTCTATCTCTCTCCCTTCCTCTCTGTAAAAAATCAATAAAATATATTTTTAAAAAATATATTTTTTAAAGAAAAACATGAGATTTATTTGGAGGAGGAAAGAAAGGGAGGGAAAATATTTTAACCCATTTCCTCTCTCTCTCTTTCTCTCTCTCTCTCTCTCTCTCTCTCTCTCTCTCTCTCTCTCTCTCTCTTCAAAGTATCCTAGAATCACTGAATGATAAAGTTTTGAGGCAGGAAATACCTTTAAGGATTATCTATTTCAACCCTGTCACTTGACATTAGGGGTGATAAGAGATTTGAGCATCTATATTCATTGGAAAGAGAAGATTGGACTTAGAATTTAAAAACTTGAGTTCCATTGCTAGCTCTGCCAATTTTATGGCCATAAATTGGTCACTCAACCTCTCAGGAGTCCCCAGCTATGAAAGAGGACAGTGATCACTACTTACCGTAGGTGAAGTAAGGAACCAGTGAGACCATGCAGGTGAGAGCTCTTTGTGAACAGTAAAGCAGTTTTCAAAGGAAAAGCATTGCCATGACTCTTTGGACACACAACCTTCGAGCTTATAGAGCACATGCACTCACCTACCAAAATATATCATCTCATCTCAAATATCTAATTTTGTGAATCAAGAAAGAAAAACACTGACCCTAGCAAAACCCCTGGCACAGAATAAGTGCACAGAATTTTTTCTGAAATATTTAGGTGAAAATGACTAAAGAAGGGTTTTTTGAGGTCTACTCAGAGTCAGGAGGTAGATGCATGAAGCTACCCAAAATCCCTGTCACAGGACAGCCCTAAACATACTGTGGTTCCAGTGGAGCTCTACCTAGTGCGTTCCTCTCCCTGTCCCCTAGAAGGAAATGGCCTGATGCAGAGGCTTCCTTACAAGTCAACCTTTGTTCACACTCACAGAACAGTAGCCTCCCCAAAACCCAGCAGGGACTTCACCTGCATAGTTTGCTGTTTAAAAACTGGTTTCCAAGGTCACATGAAGGAAAAAGTTAGATGAGACCCCAACCTGAGTTGTCTGTCCAGAAAAAAAATTTCAAGCTCTCCTTGAGAAATTCAACGACCGCAATGAAAATTCTCTGCAACGGAGAATGCCATTGGCCAGGATGGGCATTGTCACTGGTAATGGAACCAATGGTATTTTCCTGGATTACCAAAGAAGTGTTGCATGTTCTTCCCAGAAACTAAATATCTTTATGGTTTCAATGGAGATCTTCATCTGAAAATGCCCTCCCCATTGAAGATTTTAAACCAATATTTTCATAAGAACTATTTTTCCTTTGTTGAACCAAGGCATTACAGTGATGACTATACAGATTCCCAGGTGACAGAGCCATCATTAGCATTGCTATTATTTTTGTTTCCCTGCATCGCCATAACAGCCCACATTCACACTGCGCTCTGCAATCGCTTCTTAGTAATAGGCCTCACAAGATCTCTGTGAGGCAAAAGGGTGACTAGGATTAACATTTCTGTATTGCCTAAAGGGGAACCACAGACATGGATGGAAGATAACTGGCTACCAACACCATTTTTACAGTGATCGTACTGAGACACCCACCCTCTGCCCCAATTTGGCCCTACATTTACACTGCCTTCTTCAAGATGCCAGCTATTTTTGTAGCTCTTGTTTATGGCTATTGAAACACCAAGTCTATGATCAAGAAGAACTGAACTCGACAAAACCAGACATTTTGCACCTAGGATAGACCATAATGATCACCTAACCAGCTCCTTAAGGCGCAGAACCAGAGAAAATGCTTTATCGAACTCACACAAGCCACTTCCTCCCAGTTCTGTGCTTGAATGTGTTTTTATGCCATGTTGCCATGCCTCACCTTTCTCTCTTTACCTTATTTTTCTTCCTTTCCTTCTTCTTCCATCCATTTCCTTCATTTAAAATTTGTGTGGTTTAAATTCCAACCAGGAAACCAAAGACATATATCTGCTAAGGCTCTGGTGTTGCACCACCGGAACTGGGCTAGTCTCAGAATACTGAGAAAGTCTGTCAGTGTCAGAAATGAGTCCCTTCCTTTCTTCAACCTCTATTCTTGAGTCTAGCCGCTGGGCTCTGGCTCTGGCTCTGGCCAGGGACTTGCCTACACCTCCCTGTGTCTGAAACTATCCTCACTCTCCTGGGGTTTGTCCTGGAAAAGACCAGACCACTCTTTGGGCTCTGGTGGAGGCTGTAACATGCCAGAGCCCAGGGTTCTCTCCTGAACCTGTCACTTCTGTAGGAAATGGATTGATGGTATTCAGAGGAGTAAGAGGATAAAGACTTTTGTAGTTGAATGTCACTTTTGTCTCCTCTGACCTGCCCTAATCAGCAGGTTGTCACCCCATATTCTGAGTGATTTATTCCTATTCAAACAAACTCCTTCTTTGGGGGGGGGGGGGGGATGGATCTTCTTCTCTTAAGGACCACCCCTCAGCTGCCAGGGGCTGCCAAGTACCCTATCCATTCATGCTCAGCCACAGGGAACAATAAACAAATTAAGCCAAAACACAAACCACAGCTCCGAAGCTCCCCTCCAACTCCAACTTCTGATTTCAGGAGTTCTCTTTCCTCTTCCATCATATATTTTTAGAAACTTGTTACATGTCCTATGTCTTCTTCCTTTTTTTTCTAAGACTGTGTGCTTATAATTGTTTAGAGCAGAGCAATACAAACACAAAGCAATTCAAAAATCCTGGTTATCTCTGCAAACAACATTATCAAGTTTATCATCTGCCATTATAAGGGCAAAGGAACATAAAAGCATACAAAGCAGAATTCTTCCTTGTGAATTCCCAGTGACGCACCCATGGCCACGCCTACTCCACAGAAGACAAAAGGCAAAGGCACGGGACTCAGGCTAAGTCTCCGGCCAGAGAAGGAGTCACTGCACTGGCGGCTGAGTAACCAAGGTATTGTCCTTATCACATCTTTGGCTTTAAAAATATTTTTTTCTTTTTATCCTTGGCTGTTATCTCTCTAACTGCCTTCTTTAGAGCTAAAGCCTTTTCCTCCCTTTCTTGTCCTTTCCTGATTTGGAGTGTGAGTTAGAATCATGGTCAGATTTTAGAAAATGATTTTTTCTCCCGGTGGAGAACTGGGAGACAGAGGAACTTGTCTCATATAAGAGCAAGCCTTTCCTCTAAGGGAATTCTGCTCCCAAAAACTGTCTCTCTTTTGCATCTGTGTAAGGCAAATACCTCATTCTTGTGGTGTTTTAACTTAGCCAAAGTTCACTGAATGCCTGTGTGCATGCATTGAATTAAGACACATAAGGGATACTAAGATTCTAAACGAAATTTACAAGCTAGTAGAGGAGGCAGATGCAATGCAAATCATTCAAGGGATTCAAAAGAAGAATGGGGAAAATGCTGAGCGTGGGCTAAGTCATGCATTATGTTTCTCAAGAAGCGCAAAGCGGAGGTGTTTCCCCATGAAGGCATCTGGTTGAGGAACTGGCTGGGCTGACAGCCCCTGGTGTTCTCTGTTTCAGAAGTCAACATGGCTCAGGTTCCTGACCTCTTTGAAGACCTGAAGAACTGCTACAGGTAGGAAATAGATTCTCTTGTGATTCGATGAGGGGATCAAGGCACATTAGAATTCAGCTAGGGATTACAGTGACTAGCATGGGGCTAGCCTAGCAGACACTGAAGAGATGTGTCCTCGCTCCAAAATCAGGGCATGTTCAGCAAAGACCCAGGGCAACTAAGCATCCAGCATGTTAAGCTGAGATGGGATTGGGAGACAGCTATTCCAGGAAAATTATTTTTAAGGCCTGATGAGTCCTAGTGAATTTCAACATCTCCTCAGACACAATCTCAGCTGGGTTCCCATGTCTGACAGTGATAGGTTTTAATGGACTGTCAGAGAGGGAAACCATTCTCAGAAAACTTCTTGATCTCAATCTGGAATGGGAAATGGCTCCACAGCAGTCTGAGTACTTGAGTGCTTACACACAGTCCAACCTCATCCAGACATAGGAGAAACATAAATGAATAAGAAGGTAACATTATAGAGCCTTAAGCTAGCACGGTGCTCCCATTACCTGTTACTATACACTAACACACACTAGGCCATCCAGGTGTTGTTTGGATGTGCTGCCAAGTATAAATGACTAAATCCAGTTGAGTGAATACATTAAAGCAGCCTATAACATATATTTGGCTAAAATTAAAGTGAGATGCTTCCAAAGTATTTCTTTTCTCTTGAGAAGCTTAACATTTTTCTCTGAAATTTAATTATAACTCTTCAATTTGTTAGTCAAACTCTGTTTTTGTTGATAAAACCCAGGTAATGTTCAAAGTCTGCCCTGATGATTACTACAGTAATTCCAAATTAGTGAGAGACAGATCATTGTATAGATGTCTGTTTATAGAAGTCTTCCATTTTCTAAAATGACAGTAGTTGCTGTGTATGTGTGTGTGTGTGTGTGTGTGTGTGTGTTACCCAAAGATAATGTGGTAATTAAAATACATTGCCCAGTGACTGTACTGATATAACAATTACATTCTTATCATATTGTTTGACAGTGAAAATGAAGAATACAGTTCCAAAATCGACCAACTCTCTCTGAATCAGGTAAGCCAATGACTGATTCTTTCGGGATTGCTATCCTAACACTCGTATTTTCTCCCCTGGAAGAGAACCGCAATGGCTCAAATCCTAGAATGCTTCTGTCATACCCTAACATGTATCTGCCTCTGTGCACTGAGAGTTGATGGGCTTCATCATGCTCACTAGATTTTCCCAGAACAGAGCAGAACTATCTTGAATCCCAAGAACTGAAGACTCTTGGCCAGGTTTCATCAGAATGTTATGCCATCCTGAGACCGCCTCTTTGGGATATGTCTCCTAAAGAGATATGTTGGGGTCATCCTCTCCAGCTCCAGAAATTAGCGAGAGCCCTACAATGTAACAGCCCATGAAGCTAAGGTGGAGGAAGCAGGCCACACACCACCTGTGAGATTTTGCTAGGAGACCACACAAGTACTGCCTGTGTGTATTAGGTACTGGCTCTAAAAGCTGTTCTCAGAGGAATATTTCTAGACTCTTTGTGCCCTACAAGTGAAAATCTAACATCCTGAGAGAGAACTAAATGGAGAACCTCCACTCACAATGATCTCACTTGTAAACCTATTTCATTACATCTCATTTTTAAGTCGGTTAATGGGTGACAATAACCGGCCAAGAGGTCACGTCCTTTCAGGGAAATCCTGAGAGTTAAGGGAAGTGTGAGGGAGAGGGGAAGACTGATGAAACATGGGTTCGCCAAGGCCAAAATGCAGCTCCTTCTCACTGAGTCTATGGAATAAAACTCCTGCGGAAAGTACTCTCATTCTGTGGCCTTGGGAAGCCTCTCAGGTTCTACTTCCCTTTCTCACAGAAATCCTTCTATGATGCATACTACGACACACTTCCCAAGGACCGCACGGATCAATTCCTGTCTCTGAGTACCTCCGAGACCTCTAAGACATCCCAGCTTACCTACAAGGAGAGTATGGTGGTGGTGTCAGCCAGTGGGAAGATTCTGAAGAAGAGACGATTGAGTTTCAATCAGTTCATTACCAATGATGACCTGGAAACCATTGCCAATGATCCGGAAGAAGGTAGGGAGTCAAGTACAATAACATCCTTATTTTCCATTTTTAAGCAAATGTAGGGACAATAGAATATGGGGGCAAATAAAACCTAAAGTCAGAGTAACAAGAAGGCAACCAGACACTAGTCTGGTAACTATAAGGAAAGAAGATTAAATTATATCCCTCTCCAGCAGGAAGGAGGCAGCAGTGGCCTGTGTCTAAAATATTTGCTCACATGCTCATTTCGTGGCCATATTGTAAAGGTCATGTGACTTTCAGGCCTTTGGCGGAAAGCAGTTATACACTGTTTTTGTGGGTATCAGTTTACAAGCTGTGTTCCTCCACATGCTGACTATGCCTCCTTAGCCAAAGAACTTCATCCCCCTGTGCTCCAGTTTCCCCTACTGTAAATGGAGATCATCAGAGCCCCTACGCATTGTGAGGATTAAATGTGTCAATACTTGCAAGCTTCTTGACTGGAATAATGCCTGGCACATAGGAAAGATCCAGTAAATATCAGCTATTGCTGTTGTTATTAATCTTACTATTACTACTGCTGCTACTGCCTTTATTAATACTACCAACAATACCACTTGATTAATGGCTGCATTATCTCTACACTTTGCAACAACTCTACATTCTCATTTTACAGATGAGGAAACTAAGCTCAGTGAGATAGTCACCTTCCCGATTTGTAAATGGGAAAGCCTTAAACCAAATTTGTTTCTAATGATAAAAACCATGATTTTTCTCCCATGCCTCTATTTTACAACCCTCAATGTGAAACAAAAACCAAATATGTTTAAGGTAACACTATACACTAATACACATTCACCTAGAAAATTAAGAAGTAGAAGAAAATGTAAGAAAGAAATAAAAATTACTCATACTGCTACTAAGAGTTTACCACTGCCAGTACTATGATAGTTGTTTCTATATACATACATGCACATGTTAGGATCACAGTTTCATATGTAGTTTTTTTTTTCAAGTAACAATATATCAAGGACATTTTAGAGTGAAATTTTTCACCAATATAAATAATTGTAAAGGTCATGTGACTTTCAGGCCTTTGGCAGAAAGCATTTATACACTGTTTTTGGAAATCATTGCCAATGATCCAGAAGAAGGTAGGGAGTCAAGTACAATAACATCCTTGTTTTCCATTTTTAAGCAAATGTAGGGACAATAGAGTATGGGGGCAAATAAAACCTAAAGTCAGAGTAGCAAGAAGCTTGTAACAACAAACATCCATATCAATAAGCCATCATTTCTATCGCCATTTACACCTTAAAATAGACTCCTATAAGTAGAATTATGCAGAGCCATGAAAATTTGTGAAGATACTAATTTATATCACTGTTAAGAGGGGGACAGACATTTAGACCTCTCCCTCAGTAACATACAAAATTCTTAATATATGTATTTCTTTACACAGAGTGCATTCATTTGAAAATATAGATGGGGATATTAAGAACTTTCCTGGTTACTTAGAAACCTCCAAACAACCAAAAATGAAGACATTGCAGATAATCTCTGTTTAAAAAAATATAGAGGCATCACAGTTTAAAAAGAAATAATGTTAAAATCCACTCTGTTACGGCTGGGTGATCCCACTTCTCTGTTTCCTCATTTCTGTGCTTGTATTAGAGCAGGCATGTCATGTGTCTGCTCCCAGACACTAATCTGAGATTGTGCTAATGATTTCAGAAATCCTCCAGCCCACATCAGTTCCTTACAGCTTCCAGGGTAATGTGAGTTACCCCTTCATGAGGGTCCTCAAAAGACATTTCATCCTGAATGACAGCCTCCATCAAAGCATCATTCGAGACACATCGGGCCGTTTCCTCGTGGCTGCCACATTACATGATGGGGACCAAGCAGGTAAGCAGACAGCTCAATCATTCTCCCTCCTTTATTTTTGTATTTCTTTCAAGCTTTCTACTTTCAAAGAAAACAGCTCTCTAGACTCTTGGCTTTGCACAACTTTTCTAGAACAGAAGGATGAATATCATCCTGGCAAAGACAGGAGCCTCAACCAAACCTGGAGCCCCACAAGCAGGTGTCCTGTCCTTGAGGACATCTAAGTGCAGTGTGCAACTTCCTGATGTAGTTTCTCCTTTGGTTCTCTCAGTCTTATCCTCCTTTTTAAAGACGAGGAAACTGAGGCTCAAAAATATTAAATGACTCACCCCAGTTTGCCCAGAACCAATGAGGAGCCATCACGCTTTATTAGAAAGCCTGGCCAGCAAACTTACAAATAACACCAAATTAGAAAGAACCATTATCTCAAGTATATAACATAATTGGAGGCAAAATACCCAATAATATGCAAATATGTTCTGAAGGATGAAACTTGGTGTCTAAGAAGTTTTATCACACCATTTCCATGATGTATATGGTTAGCTTCAGGTTATGTCATCATCTACAAAATTATTTCCCAAGATCCACAGAGGATCCTCTGCAGTAAACAGCAGAGCTCTCTGATTGAACTTGAGCTAGCACGCTTCCCATGCTATGACAGTTACAAATTATTTGTGTTCTATTCACCAATTCTCCTATAAACTGGATACACACACACACACACACACACACACACACACACACACTGAGTGACCAGATTATTATGATCTCTGAACGCATAATAATCTGCCCACTCAATGTATATCCTATATAATAAAAGACTAATATGCAAATTGTCCCCTCAACCAGGAATTCAACCAGCAGGCAGGTCAGCCAATCACCCATATCCTCTCCCCCTGGCCAAGCTGGCTGGCCCCCACCCATGCATGAATTCATGCACTGGGTCTCAAATACACACACACACACACACACACACACACACACACACACACACATACACTGAGTGGCCAGATTATTATTATGCTTTAAGAGATCATAATAATCTGGCCACTCAATGTGTGTGAGTGTGTGTGTGTATATATATATATATATATATATATATATATATATATATAGAGAGAGAGAGAGAGAGAGAGAGAGAGAGAGAGAGAGTTTTCTCTAAGAAATTCTGTTGCAAATATCTTTGTATATATACATTTTTTCCTACGAGGTTATTTCTTTAGAAGAGCATATCCCAAAAGTGGAACTCCTGAGTTTCTAGACATATATAATTTTACAACTCTTATTAAGCTTTGTTCTCTAAGAAAATTTTAACTACTTGTCACTAACACTAGCAACAAGCCTATCAGCTTCCCTAAACTCTCCATCTTAGGTCATTATGAACTCATGACCTCACAAATTATAGTGTCTTATCCCATTAATGTAATTACACTAGATTTAATAAATACTTAGCCCCCAAGCATTCATTCAATTTAGACGATTCTAAGGATATTAACCAAGTGTCTATCTGCCTACTAAGTATGGCAGACATGGTAAAGTCACATCAATGTGCCAGGTTCCATTTCTGTCACTTACACCATAATGTGGGACCTACTACACACACACAGGCACACTCAGGCATAGACAGAGTATCTATTGATACATAAACACTTGATTCTATACAAATACCATATATTTACTTTCTTTTTGGCTTTTCTCTTCACAGTGAAATTTGATATGGGTGGTTATAAATCAGATGATCTTAAATTTCCTGTGACTCTAAGAATCTCAGACACACGACTGTTTTTGAGTGCGCAAAAAGAAGGCGAACCCGTATTGCTAAAGGTCAGTTGTCCTCTGTCTCTAATTTACCTTTGCATACATTTATAAATAACTCCAAACAACAGACACCCCTAGCAGGGTGCACAGTCCTCTTCTCTTCCTACCACAGCCCCCACCTGCTCATCTGGCCCCATCCTGCTTCCATCCCCAGGGGAAATTCTGGGCAGAATCTGTGAGAGAGTAAAATGCAGGTGCAAGAATATATAAGAGATAAATTGCCTTCTTCCTTCTTCTTTCTTTCTCTGCCTGATCCTGTTCACCTCCCATTCCAGGACATCCATTTATTCATTGTTATTTTATCCTTACTGACATCTACTATCTGTTTTTACATTATTTAGGCATTAGGATGATGGGCCTGCCTCCAAGAAACTCAAACAAGTCAACTGAGATTAGAGAGGATTAATCATGTGCCACTGGGCACAAGGGAAAAAGCTGGAGTCAACACTCTATCCCTAGCCTTCTGACTCTAGCACCTCTTTCTTCATTGGTGCCCACATTGTCCTTAATCCCAGTCCCATCTCCACTGCCAAAAATATAGATGCCCACTTTAGTGGAGTTTTCTCCACTAATAAATAGGTGACTCTTACTCAGTAAATTTATAATCCAACCCCCAACCCACTAGAATTTATGTGATGCATGTGTTTCTTTACTTGATCAAGTGAAATGAAAGTGGTGTCAGTGGCTTCATTCATGAAGTCATTTAGTAAGCATTATTTGCTGACAGCCTTCTGTCTGTCAAGCTCAGTGCCAGTGTAGGCACTAATAATTGGTGTAGGCAGCGGTACACCAAAGTCCCTAACCTTATAGGACTTAGTCTCCTGGGGACACAATCAATAAACAAACCAAGCAACCAGCACAACATGCAAGATGCTATAAAGCAAATGGACAAGGTACTGAGATTTTTAAAAAGTGGGAATTCTCTTTAGATAGAGAGGCAAAAATAGAGTTCCCTGTGAGATGAGAGCTGCTGAGGGGAGAGGGGGGCATGCCATCATACAAGGGAAGTGGGGGGAGAAGGGCATAATAAAAAGAGGGGTCTGACTGCTCCCAGCCCTAGATCTTTAAGAGTTTAAAGGCTAGCTTCAAAGATCAGAAGGACACTCTAGGAGCTGGGCACCAAGAGAGGAGGGAAGAAAGGCAGAGGCTGGTATTAGTGGAGCCTTGCATTTGGATTTCCTCTGAGGTGCAATAAAAAGCCATAAAAGGGAGTTCATTTATGTTTTCTAAAATAGAGGCTAGATCCGAAGGAAAGCAATAGAGGAAGCAGACAGCTCCACTAGGAGGCAATAACAACAGTCATGGGGTGGGAAGTGCTGGGACAGGTGGAAAGCAGTAGACAGAATCTCATTACATTTTGAAGACAGAATAAAAAAGAGCAAGAGGAGAAACTCCACTTATTGAAATGAGAAAAAATAGGAGAGAAGTAGGTTTGCGTAATGAAATCTTTATTGACATTAAAAACTCCAAGGGAACCTCAAAAGGGATATTTAGTTTCTTTAGATTAAAAAGAATAGAGAAGAAGTATCTCAGGTTAGAATTTGAATTTTACTTTTTTTCATGAAAGTATTGTTAAATTCTATTCATAACCACAAGAAGGATAGAGTCTAAAGAGATCACAATCATCAACAATTTTACAGAAAGAATTCAGCTGCTAATATACCTGTGTAGTGGAGTGTGTGTGTGTGTGTGTGTGTGTGTGTGTGAGTGTTTTGATATTTTTTCAACCTTCAATTGTTGATTCAAATACATACATAAACATTTCTACATTATATATTGTTTCCCCAAAGGTATGATTTACACTCTTAGAGGTCAAAATTTTTAGAGGTTTTAAAATTGTTTGTGCTTAGATTTGATGCAAAATGTCTTATGTTTGCATTGGAGGTAAGACAAGAATAACGTTTGACCACACCTGCCAGGATACAGAGAGACACTGGTGTCATTGGCAATCTTCATGACTAATTTGGATTTCTCTCCAGTTAACTAAGGAAATCAACTATTATGAGTAGATGATGTCATACATCTAATAGGCATGTAATAAATGCTTACTGAATGAACAAATGAATGAAGAACCTAGGTAATATTACAGAGTCAAAATCTTAAAGTGCTATGTTTCTCACTAAGGATATACCAAAGGGACTGAACTTTGACTTTTGTTCTAGCATCTTATTCTCTGACAACTCTGCCCTCCTTATCCTAGGAGATGCCTGAGACACCCAAAACCATCACAGACGAAACCAACCTCCTCTTCTTCTGGGAAAGTAAAGGCTCTATGGACTACTTTGAGTCAGTTGCCCATCCAAAGTTATTTATTGCCACAAAGGAAGAATACCAGGTGCACATGGCAAGTGGGCATCCCTCTATCATTGACCTTCAGATACTGGAAAACTAATAGCCTTGACTCTGGAGTCTACTTACTTGTGAAATGTTGACAGTCCATTTGTACCATGTACATGAGGCAGTCAATACCTTTACTCTTAGTCACTTGCTGAGCATGTGCTAAGCCTTTGTAATTCTAAATGAATGTTTACTCTCTTTGTAAGAGAGGGAGTAAGATCTAGGGGACCAAAACTAATATATAATATTGCTTGTTATTTAAGGAACACCCTATACTATGCAAGTACCAATCATTTTAATTATTATTATTCATTACAATCTTGGGAGGAACAGGGCTCCTGACAATAAAAAAGACTCTACCTATATTACATACGAGTTAACTAAAGCACAAAAAAAAACTAAGGAAGACCCACAATGGCAGTTGGAATGAGAAGCCATAGACCCAGGATTTCATTCCATCTGCTTGCCTTCTGCTTTTAAGTTGCTGATAGATCCTTAATCAAATACTGTAAGTTTCTTGGACTTCATTTTGACTGTCTTCAAAATGGAGGGCATGTCCTTTCTGCCTCAACAGTATTTTATGACAACCAATGAGATCATTTCAGTAAAACGCTTCTTGAAACTGAGCCTCAAGAACAAAGCAAAGCATTGAATGTTAAGTTATTATTTATATATACATAAATATTTATAAATATAATTTAAGATAATTATAACATATTATTATATTTATGTCAATTTTTTTTTCATTTGTGAGAGTGACCAGGTATCTTCAACAACATACAGTGTTCTCCAGGTTGAGTGAGTTTGATGTAGTTACACTAAGGCACTTTGGTCCAAGTTGTGCTCTTTCCATTGCCATGAGGCTATGTATTCTGGGATCCTTGCAATTATGATAATAAATTTATATTTTAATTATTTTCTTTGTTTGAGCTGATAATTGGCCAAAAGCTTTCGCTCCTCTACCTTTAAACTTTCTTTGTCATTCGTGTGGCATTATATTTCACCTGCTATCAATTTCTGCTAGCTAAAATGAATGACCTTGACTTTGGCAACAATGAGACAACTGTTATTTATTACTTCTAGGTTCTAAAAGTTGGGCTAAAACCACAGTGTCACATTACTATTACTAATAAAGACTGACATATTATCAATTACAATTGAATAAAAATTACAAAAAAGTAAATCTGACATATAATTATTGTCTTAATCATTATTTCACTGCACTAGAGGCCCAGTGCATGAAATTCATGCACTGGCGGGGTGGGGGGGTCCCTCAGGCAGCCTGCTCCCTCTCACAATTCAGGACCCCTCAGGGGATGTCTGAATGCTTGGTAGTGCTGCTGTGGATTTGGGAGAGGCTCCTGCCACCACAGCTGTGCTAGCCAGCCTTGAACTCAGCTTCTGGCTGAGTGATGCTCCCCCTGTGGAAGCACATTGACCACCAGGGGGCAGCTCCTGCCCTAAGCATCTGCCCCTTGGTTGTCAGTGCACATCATAGCGACTGACCAGTTGTTCTAGTCGTTCCTGTTGTTCTGTCATAATGGTCACTTAGACTTTTATATAGAGATAGATGGTAACTAGGAACAAAAAGTAAAAGTTCACATAAATAACTATAGTGCTATTATACATTACAAACCAAACCATGAGTTTATATTTTTTCTCTCCCTTTGTTAGCGAGCCAGTAGCATAACTGGCATTAAGAATGATAATATATTCAGGTTTATTTCAAGTTCACATTACAAATTTATAACACATGTGTTCATCTATCCACACAAACTCATACATACAGAGCCAGATTAATAACTAACCAATGCAAGTTAAAATCAAGGGAACTTGGAATTAGATTTGGGAAATAATGATGAAAGAGCAATTCTAGATGACTCTCAGTTTCCTATTACTGGGAAATAGGTGAGTGACTGTATCAATCAGTACTTTTGGTAGAAATATGGAGTTTTTCTCACTACCAGGATGCAGTATGATGAGTACCATTTTAGGCATGAAATTTGAGCTACTTGCAGGACACTCAGGTGAATATGTGGAATGGATAGATGATAATATGCCTGGAACCCAGGAGAAGTTAGAACTAGATATAGATTTGGAAGACAGAAGGTGTACAGTAGCTAAAATCTTAAAAGTGACATCAGAGAAAGAAGAGAAGAGAAACATATGGTGAACACTTGTTTGTTCATGCAATTGCCATCTCCCCTGCCTAAATGATAAGAAGGTCACCATGATGGAGTTCAACAGTCTTGGCACTGAACTTGTTAGACCCTGTTTATTTTATGATGGTCTTTATAAATCAGTTTTCAAACTGATGAGAGAAAAGCCAAATCTCCACCTTTAAGTCCAAAGTATAGAAACAAAAATCCAAAGGACATTTCCCTACCTCTTTTCCCACTAAGTCATCCCCAGACATTTAAAAATGCCTACACTCAAACTTTTTGAGGTGATAAAAATAGTTGGGATAGTAATAATATAGTATGTATAAATATGCTTGTGTATCTATATCTATTCCTTGATTATATGGTGGTTTTATGACTATATACACTTGTCAAAATTGTCCTCTTGAGTCTTGACCAATGTTATCTTGACCAATATATCTTTTATATAATTTGTAGGCCAGAATTAAATGTAGTGTTCAAGATTTGATCAGACCAGAAGAAACAAGAATAGGATTTTGCCAAAACCAGTTTGGCTCAGTGGATAGAGCGTCAGCCTGCGGACTGAAGGGTCCCAGGTTCAATTCTGGTCAAGGGCATGTACCTTGGTTGCGGGCACATCCCCAGTGGGGGGTGTGCAGGAGGCAGCTGGTCGATGTTTCTCTCTCATCGATGTTTCTGGCTCTCTATCCCTCTCCCTTCCTCCCTGTAAAAAATCAATAAAATATATTAAAAAAAGAAAAAGAAAAAAAGAATAGGAGATTTGTCCTTCTTATTTAAGCACCATGGTTTTGTTAGGAAGCAACATTAGCTTTTTGAAAGCAAGTGAAATTAGTGACTCATATAACATTTGTAGATAATTAAGACCTAGACCAATTCTGAACCTAAGTTCATACTTTAAATTTATCTCTGTTAAATTTAATCTTGTTAATTTGACCCCAGATCTTTTTAGATTGTTCCAGATTCTGATTTTTATAAACACGGGGTTTTCTTCTCCTCAGTTTTATAGCATCTGTAATTTGATGAGCATATTTTTATTTTGTTCACACCATATTGTTGATTATAAAGAATGGACTACAAAGATTTTACAGTATATCCCTGTCTTTATTTAAAATACCTACAATCTATATTTAAATGATTATTGAAAGAATGTTAACAATCTTACCTCTGAGTGATTGAATGATTTATAAGAGTTTTAGGTTATATGTTTTTCTGATTTTGTAAGTGAATGTATGATTGCATAACAAAATACCAATTTATACAAAGACTTTTATGAGTTTGACTTTTATTTAGATTTCACATATAAGTGAATACCATGAAGTATTTATCTTTCTCTGTCTGACTTATTTCACTTAGCATAATGTCCTAAAGGTCCACCCATATTGTAGCAAACATCAATATTTCTTTCTTACTTATGTCTGAATAATATTCCATGTATATACATATTTTATTATATTTTTTAAATTTATTTATCCATTCATCCACTGATAAATGCTTCAGTTGTTTCCATAACTTGACTATCATAACTACTACTGCAATAAACATGACCATGCAGGTATCTCTTCAACATCCTGTTGTCATTTTCTTCTGATATAATACCTAGAAATATAAATCCTAAGCTATATAATAGTTCTATTATTGATTTTTTAGGAACCTCCTATACTGTTTTCCATACTAGCTGTATCAATTTACATTCCCACTAACAGTACAAGAGGGTTCTCTTTTCTCCAGATCCTATCTTTGAGAAAACAAGAAAACACTTGTTTTCTCTTGTCTTTTTTCTGACAGCCATTCTCACAGGTATGAGGTGATATCTCATTGTAGTTTTGATTTGCATTTCCCTGATGGTTAGTGATGTTGAATATCTTTTCATGTACCTGTTGGCCATATGAATGGCTTCCTTTTTTTAATTTTCTATTCAGCTTCTCTGACTATTTTCTAATTGGATTTTCTTTTTTGTTTGTTGTTGTTTTGCTGTTGAAATGTGTGAGTTCTCTATATATTTTGGCTATCAACCCTATATCAGATAGATGGCTTGAAAAGATTTCCTCCCCTTCCATTAATTGCCTTTTATTTTGTTAATTATTTCTTGAGCTATGAAGAAACTTTTTAGTTTGATGTGGTCTCACTTGTTTATATTTGCTTGTTGAATCTGTCTTACTGTTAAATAAAAAATAAAAATAAAAAGAAATCATTGCCAAGCCCAATGTCAAAAAGCTTACCCTATGTTTTCTTCAAGGAGTTTTACAGCTTCCAGTCTTAAATTTAAGTCTTTAATCCATTTGAGTTGATTTTATATATGGTGTGAGATGGGGAACAGTTTCATTCTTTTGCATGGGGCTGTTCAGTATTCCCAACACCATTGATTGAAGAGACTATCTTTCTCTATTGTATAGTCTTGACTCCTGTGTCAAAAATTAATTAGCCATATATTTATGGGTTTATTTCTGCATTTTCTGTCTTGTTGCATTGATCTATGTGTCTTTTATACCAATTCCATAGTTTTTTATTGGAATTATTTTGTAATAATCAGGAAGTGTGATGACTCCAGTTTTGTTCTTTATCAAGAGTTCTTTGGCCGAGACCGGTTTGGCTCAATGGATAGAGTGTCAGCTTGGGGACTGAAGGGTCCCGGGTTCGATTCCGGTCAAGGGCATGTACCTTGGTTGCGGGCATATCCCCAGTGGGGGGTGTGCAAGAGGTAGCTGATCGATGATTCTCTCTCATCGATGTTTCTAACTCTCTATCTCTCGCCCTTCCTCTCTGTACAAAATCAATAAAATATATTAAAAATTAAAAAAAAAATTAAAAAAGAGTTCTTTGGCAATTTGGAGTTTTTTGTGATTACATAAATTTTAGGATTGATTGTTCTATTTCCATGAAAAATGCCATTAGAATTTTGAAAGAGATTGCATTGAATCTGTGGATTGCTTAGAGTAGTATGGACATTTTAACAATATTAATTCTTCCAATCTATGAACACAGATTATCATTCCATTTATTTATAGGTTTCTGGGTACAGATGTTTCACTTCCTGGGTTAAGTTCATTCCAAAGTATTTTATTCTTTTTTTTATACA